AATATTTGTGTTAAAATTCACAATTTTTTTATCGTTTATTTTTTATTGCATTTTCTTCTTAGATTGCGTATTTAAGCAAAAAATTATGAGAAGAGCTTAAGTGACTTTGACCATCCAACTAGCTATTACATGCCGATTCGCTCCCATGGGCAATAAAAAGTGTCAGTGAAGTTACCCGTGGGAATGAGATGTTCACGATAAAAGGTAGCCTGTGTCATTCACTCACTCTCTCACTTAATATTATCACATTTTAAACACTTCATTTCGACATGAAAAATTGACCAAAAAACAAACAAACCCATTTTCACATTTATAATAGTATGGAGTGATGGAGACTTTTGCTCGTGTCTGTTTTATTAGAAGCAATAGTCGACCATGATATGACTAATTATACCAGTACCACAAAACGCATTTGCACCATAGTGTGAAAAAAAAGCTGTACTAAACGACAATTTCCATAGTCATTTGTACCTATATTGAGGTAATATTCCGGTCACCGTCCTCGTCGAACCCGTCGCTTGCGACGAAGGGCTCGACGAGCGAATTAACCCATAGACACAGCCCACTGAGTTTCTCGCTGGATCTTCTCAGTGGGTCGCGTTTCCGATCCGGTGGTAGACTCTGCGAAGCACTGCTCTTGCTAGGGCCAGTGTTAGCAACACTCTGGTTTGAGCCCCGTGAGCACACCTACACACGTTAGGGTGAAGCTGAAATAGCCTCTCAAGGCTATCAGCATAGATAGAAAAAAAAGAGGTGATATTTATCATGTACCTTGTCTATATACAGTATCATATACCTTGTCTATATACAGATGTAAGAATTTGTACTTGCCTTATTGTTATAATAGTTTTATAATTGTCGCTGTTTCTAGTTCAACAAATTCGTCATTTTCTGTAATTAGTAAATCATTCGTCTCTCATAGCTTGCACCATACATAAAGCTGTTAGTCTTCATTTTCCACTTGCATTAGGTCACGGTCATGGAACGTGTGCCGTGTGAGCACTGGTTAGTTTAAAAACGATTACGTTGATCAACTTTTTACTGATGGTAAAATGTCTTGTGAGTCCGCACAGGTAGGTAGGTACCATCACCCCGCCTATTTCTGCCGTGAAGCAGTAATGTGTTTCGGTTTGAAGGGTAGCGCAGCCGTTGTACTGTAATAACTGAGACCTTAGAACTCATGTCTCAAGATGGGCGTCGGAATTTACCTTGTTGATGTCTATGGGCTCCCGTAACCACTTAACATCAAGCGGGCCGTGAGCTTATCCACCAATCTAAACTATGAAAATAAACTAGCCAAACACAAATACTTGTTCTGTTAGTAAATTAAAATGTCCTATTGCGTTTGTGACTGTGAAGCCAGCTAGCTGCCACGAGACCATTGACCCTAGCGAATTTTAATTTTAATTACATTGCGTGCTGTACAGTAGAAAATCAAATATAATTTTCAGGAATCCCTTGCCTTCGTTTTCAGAAGCGGTTAGAGTACACCCAACCTCAAGCCAAATTAATGATAGTCGTTTTTATCTCACAGCCCACCTGGTATTAAGTGGTTACCGGAGCCCAAAGACATCTACAACGTAAATGTCGCCACCCACCTTGAGATATGAGTTCAAAGGTCTCAAGTATAGTAACCTTTTAATGCGAACGAACTATCTATATATTAATAAGTGAAAACAAAAACTTTGTATCCCTTTTTACTAAAATTGCGCGGACGGAGGAGTATGAAATTTCCCACACGTATAGAGAATATAGAGAAGGAGTGCAGAATGCTAATATTTTTTTTTAAATTATGCTTCAAATATACGGTAAATCAATTAAAAAAACATTACACACTCTTTGTTTAATGTCAATTGTCAAACTTTGGTTATTGTTTAAAGTCTGCGGTCAAATTGAGAACAGATTAATGTTGCTTGTCTCTAATATTATTTATCTATAGTGTTGTCATTCTGTGATTATGTTATTACTTTTGGCGGGAACGCGAGGAGTAAAGTTGTGTGATTTGTTTTATTTTGTCTATTTAGTATTTCTTCAGGTTTAAACGTGTAATAATGGTGGTTTATTAACTGTTTAGTATCTGTGAAAGTGCACAAATGTGGGAAAATGAAACAAAGCCGCTGAACGTAACTTCTCCTCCTCCAAAAAGTCCACTGAAACAGTCTCAGTAAATGGCCACCATTTTACTGAGATTATATTTCATCTCATACCATCTCATCTCATTTCATGCCTGGTTTCATATTAATCAACTTCATTTCATTTCATAATATTATTATCATTTTTCATTTAAAAAAAGTTTTCATTAAAATAAAAATAAGACTTAACCCAAAGGTCTTAGTTACCAGGTCATAAAATCCTTTAAAACTGATTATGTTATTTGTATAGAAATATAATAGTGTTTGACAGTAGAACCATAGTAATGTTTAAACATAAAATTCCAATTAAATATAGTCGAATTTCGACTACTGCGGGACCACTGGTATGTATTAATAACGTCTAATGAACTTAACGTATCATAGACACGTGGTGGTGAAAGCTCACATGCCGCGCTGGACCAAGCAACCTTGTTCCGGCATCATAACCATCGAATGAAGACCGTCATCGTTGCGTGACCACTGTTAATTTACGATGCCATCCTAACGTGGTTTTTAAGGGGAGAATTTAGTATTGAAGTGAAAACTTCTTTAGAATCGTTGTGATTTCAAACCGGATGCAACGGAAAAAACGACAGGTAAGAGACACAAATACAAAAATGTGTAGGATGAAGCCAGCAAAGAATGAGACAGAAATATACATACTATTTAATACAGCGCCATCTGTGAGATTTTTTAATATTAACGTGTGTATGAAAGCTCTTGTAGTGAATTTTAATTTAGGATTATACGTGAAATTAAAATATCAATTCACAGAGGGCGCTACCTTACAATTATTTACTAATGACAAAATTTTACATATACTTAAGACGTTTAGGATAATTGTATTTTAATTTTGGAAGGTTTCACTTCTACCACGTGTGAATTGCATACATGTTTTTTTTTATGATACACTAGATTTGTCGCACGATTCTACACGTGTTGCATTTGAAATTAATGATATCATTTTTATATGAAATTGTGGCGGGTAGCCATCGCAGTACACAAGATATTTGACAGATGCCTGAATCTCGTTTACGACATTTTCAAGATGAGCTTGCATATATACAAGTTTCGAACAACAACATTTGGACTGTCGGTCTACGGAGCAATGTCATTTGCTCGGTGGAAGATCTTCCCTTTGTCGTTTAAGCCTCCCACAAAATGAATGATTGAATGAAATTAATAGTATGATTGATTTTACTGGTAGTACAACCTCTTGTGAGTCCGCACGGGTAGATACCACCGCCCTGCCTATTTCTGCCGTGAAGCAGTAATGCGTTTCGGTTTGAAAGGTGGGGCAGCCGTTGTAACTATCTGAGACCTTAGAACTTACATATCAAGGTAGGGTGGCGCATTTACGTTGTAAATGTCTATGAGCTTCAGTAACCACTCAACACCAGGTGGGCTGTGAGCTCGTCCACCCATCTAAGCAATAAAAATTCCTTTTCCCCTTCGCTGCCATGTAAGTCACCGGTATCCTACGTGGCGCACTGAAGTAATTACGTCTATTTCTGTCACTAAGGCGCCGGAATATCTAGTAGTGACTAGTAGACTCTGGGAAAGACGAATACGATGATACTGAGAATGATTGTATTTCTAAAAGACCTAAAAGACTAACACATACATTAAAAACAAAAGAAGGTAAAGTTAGGTAATCAGGGCGCTTAGTTACAGAAGTCGACATCATTACTTCAGTGCGCCATGTGAACATTCTTTCATTTCTTAATCGACCTTAGGTCTTCATTTACAAAGAGTCAGAATCTGCACACATAAAAATCTAAATTATTATTATTTTAAGAATCTATATTATTTTAAGAAAATAATCTTTATGGTTTTTGTTAAATAATTGTCATAGCACCGCATGTTGTTACTATAAATTATTGTCATGTACTGCACGATCTGAATTAATTATACCTAGTTTAATGTTCTCATTTAAGTGAATTTGTGTAATTCTTTTGAGAATAAAGAATATCTTTAACCCGAATTATGACGTCAAATAGGCCTTAACATTTTAAGGCTGATTGAAACAATAGACGCTTTGACCATATTGTTAAAAAAAAAAACAATCACAACAAACCCATTGTGCTGTCAAAGGATATGAATTAGCATAAAAGTTAAATCCACGTATAAGAGATTTTCATCATTATTTTCAAGAAGTCAAAGTATATTTTCGTGTTTCGAATTACTTTCGTAGGCACATAGCGTTGTAGTATTTGTCCTCATTGAGTTGACGACTAATTTTCTGTATAGCTATTCGGTGAAATTGATTTTTTTTTTGGGACACAATAAAAAAACTTAATTGACTCAGCTTTTGAACGGATTTCCGGATGATTTGTATTAAAAAGAAGAATGTAATTTATTGTGATAATTGAACACACACCGGTATTACTCGCATTGCTCGTTCCATCTATTTTTTCTACATCAGCTGGTAGGTAGCCTTAGAGGGCTATGCCAGCGTAACAGTACGAGTAGGTAGATGAGCTCACGGGGCTCTAATCTGAGGACGTGCTAACAATAGCCCCAGCAAGAGCAGTGCTTCGCAGAATCTACTACAGGATCGGAAACGCGACCCACCGAGAAGATCCGGCGAGAAACTCAGTGGGCTGTGTCTGTGGGTTGATTTATTCGCCGAGCCCAACGATGACCGGTGCTTGGGGTACCTAAAAGCACCGTTAGTGAATCGGGAGGATCCGAAATAACGTGTTTTGGGCGAGGTCGACTGTTTACAATTTGGTCCGCAGGATCGGTTATATAGTTTCCGGCGGCCACGATGAGAGGACTCTCGTGTCGTGCCGCTTAATCGAAGTGGTTGCATTCCCACAAAGTGGACTTTAAACCAAAAACGAATCAAATAAAAACAAAACATACCTTTCCTTTGTATTATGACCCTGAGCAGTGGTCTGGCTGTCAGCAATGCTCTCGCAAAGTTGTCATCATTGTTGATGGGTAGTAAATCGCCGTCCCTAGGATCGGTGTATGATATCAGGAAGGCGACGTCGTGTAACCTATGCAGTTTCTCGATTAGCGCTTTGAAATCGTCATATTTCAGTTTCTCGGTACGATTCAGCGAGAAACGACGGAACTCTGCATCGAACTGTAATGTGAAAAATGTTATTTTTTAATATACTTAATTATTCTACAGAAACTTCAGGGTGTATCTAGTGTAAATCTTTTTAGTGACCTAGTGAACTGCTCATGCTAGATGAGCCAAACGAGTAGGTGAGCTTGTAGAACCCTAATCTGGGACGTTGCTAGCACTAGCCCTAACAAGAGCAGTGCTTCGTAGAATCTACCACCGGATCGGAAACGCGACCCACTAATATGATTCGGCAAGAAGTTTAGTGGGCTGTGTCTTAGTATTACTAAATCTTTAATTACAATGGTTTTTTTCATTATTATTGAGGAGACAAGTGAAATAGCTCATGGTCTACCAGTTTGAAAACTCATAGACGTGACAATGTCAATGCTGCTAGCTATTTTGAATAATGAAGTAAGTCTCAATTGCACAGTATTATTTAATGAATGTCCCACCCTATAACTGGAATGCATAACTTATTTGTGTAGAAATAAGTATGGTGGTAATAAGTACCTACCCTTACAGGCCTACCTAACTGATTAAACTAAGAACATCAGGTATGTCTTCAATAATCAGATCTACTAAAATCAAAATAATATAAAACACAGTTGACAAATAGCATTTCAGTTATGAAAGTTATTTCGTTGACAAAGTTATGAGAAACATCACCTTTCAGTGTGTTAAGGAACACAGTGGGTCAAGAGGTTTTTATGTATTTGAGTCCCATATGTTCCATTCCATTGAAGGGGACATATCCAATGGCCATGCTCAGGACAAATAAGTTTGATTTGTCAAATTGTAGAACTATGTTATATGTATTTAAGTTAATCTGACAATAATAATTAGAAAAAATATTTGAAACTTTATAAAAATCGCTCCAAAGTTGTGATTGAGTGAAAAATGCACAAATACTATAAAAATGAGGATATGTGTATTGTTTCATACTGTGCAGATCCTGAACATCCAGCCTTATCTTTATTGGTATCAGAAAAAGTGTGACAAAAAATAGCTTAATTTATAATGTTATAGTGATATGTATCTCTGGATTATATCATTTTGTAGGATTCATTATCAATGGACACAACTTGGGTTTTTTAAATTTAAACTGAAAAATTGATTGCCATATTTTTTTGTCCAGACACTAGAGATATTTTTCAAACATTCTAATGTTTATATAATCTCATAGTCTTATAAAGTCCGTTGCTCAGAATATCAAAAAAATTACTAAAATAATTAAATAGTTTTTGGCGAAGTAACATTTCAAACGCACCCAGGCAGATTAGTCATAAACAAACCCAAGACACTAAATATATGACTAATACACAATACTATGTGTAGAACAAACAGAAATTATGAATTTTAAGAAAAATTATAGATGTTTTTGGTGCAGGACATATTGTGGATTGTCACAGAGTATTTACGACTTTTTAATTTTGTCATAAAATTTTAAGTTTTATTATTAATTTTTTATGTGATCTCTTTGTTTTAGAAAATTATTGTGTTCATGGTTAAATCGCTTTATTTTTATTAAAACACAAAACACTTTTTGGAATAAAAAAATGCATGTCTCATATTTATTTTATTAAGATTTTTGTTTTAGGTGTATAAAATAGATAAGTATTAATGGAGAATTTGTTCATGCTATCAGTGTTATGTGTAAATAGTAGAATATTTTACACTTATAAGAGACTACATAGCCTTTGCACAGTAACATTCAAAATGACGACTTTGACACCAACTGCTGCACCCGGAATTCGGTGAATGCACTGTCCGAAAAAACCGAGATCCAGATCCAAAAAACTGATTTTCTCTACATCTAACATGAAGTTTGTGTGCGAGAGAGAAGGCCCATTCATTAGGTACAGTTTTTAAATGTGTTAGAAAGAATAAAACATAATAGTAGAATATATGTTATGAATCCAAACTCCGGACTATTCATACCCGGAATTCGGCGACTCAACAGTTGACGCATATCTTGTTGAACCCGGAATTCGGCGATTGCACTGTCCAAAGGATAGTGTATATTTACACTTATGTGGCCAATTTTTTTGTAAATGTGAATATACCATGTAATCCTTGATGTCATTTTATATAGCATGTTTAGCCATTACTAAAACACTGACTCAACTGACCTATACCTTGTTGCGAACACTAAAAGTTATTTATAGGTGTCCTAATTTTTGCAATTAATGAATGCAATTTCTTACTAATGTTACCAAGAGAAAACACTATACCAAAAAGCAACAACAATAATGGTATATTGTTATAATTTCCTCTGAATAAGAGCCATCTCAGAACAATGTAATGATATTCTTGACACAAGAGAAAATCATTGATTGGATTGATGAATCTGATATAGGTTGTATTTAGGTCTGCAACTGTTAAGCACCACATTTGCATTTTATAGATTTAGTTATGAATTACAACAATAGAAAACAACGGACCTTCTTGATATAAAAAAAATGGAAGTTGTTATTTTGCATTCAATAATGTAGTTTGTGTTGTAAACAAACAAGGTATATGATAATTTAAATTCAATATTTACTTAAAAAATTGACTGAATATGGTAATATTCTATTTACTGTACCCCCTCAGATACATTTAAAAAAAACTTATATTAATCTTCCCAGTTTTGCAGTTTGATTTCTAAACTTATTTATTTGTAATGCAATTAATCTAATTGAGTGCTTCGTACGTGAAGATTATAATAAGAAAAATGTAAAATTTGCCTAAAACATGCTATTTATTTATTCTAAACGAGTTACAAAATGAGAAACGTTAAATTTACCTTCGTCTTCACCTCGACAGTTTGACTGTCAATCCGAGCTGCTATCTTATTTTTAGACATCTCGAAGGCATTTATCACAAAACTAACACACTTGTAAAAAAAACTATTTAATACATCTAGGCACTTGATTTCCGAAACAACATTGTAAAATTTAACATAACAATAATTTAATTGACGGTAACCATTCGACTCGCGTCATGCTCGCGTCGTAATTTCCAGTAGGTTTTCTTTGACATTTAGTGTCAAAAATGTTTTTAAGTGACGTCTCCGTAACCAATATTAAAGTGATTCTTTTGTTTGTCTAAGTTTTGATTGGATATTTACGAAACATTACAGTTGAGAACAGATTTAGTTCTATATTTTATGAATTCTCGTATTTTTTTAAGGGATTTTATGACCTGGTAACTAAAACATTTAAGTCAAGTCTTATTTTAATTTTAATGATACGTAACTTTTTTATATGAAAATGATATTATGAAATGAAATGAAGTTGATTATTATGAAACAGCATGAAGTGAAATGAAAACGAAATGAAATGACATGAGATGAAATGATATGGGATGAAGTATAATCTCAGCAAAGTGGTGGTCATTTACTGAGATTTTTTCAGTGGACTTTTTTGGAAGATCCCGAAAAATTACGTCCAGCGGCTTTGTTTCATTTTCCCACATTTGTGCACTTTTACAGATATTAAACAGTTAATAAACCACCGTTATTACACATTTAAACCTGAAGAAACACTAAATAGACAAAATAAAACAAATCACACAACTTCACTCCTCGCGTTCTCGCCAAAAAGTCTGAATTTTTGGCTTGACTTCAGAATTTTTTATCTGCTCCTAATGAGGAGTAAAAATGAAGTCCATATCTTTATATACCTAGGTAGTGTTTTTTAGGTCTGTTATTATAAAAAAATAAAAAATAAAGGTTTTGTATGAATTAGAACCTAGTAGCGTCTCTAAAAATATTTAGTTAAAATGGTGCTAGTCTACTGTCACACCATTTTTAAACAACTTGAAACGCTGTGAAAAACTCATGTTGGTTTTCTGAAGGCACCATATATGGTAAGCTATAGCTTACAATTTTTTTTACTGTGTGTGGTTCAGAAAAAGGTGTTTTGAAAATTTACTTATGTACTATTATATTTTAATGTTTCTTCATCGTTTAATGTCGGCCACTGACACGTCGGCGTACATTGTACGAATGTTTGCGCGCATGTGAAGGGCCGCCAAACATTCATTCGCAAATTTCATTCATTCGGCTGTGCAAATGGGCTCGGTACTCAATTTGCGAATCCGTTTGCGCTTCCTCCTACACTTGTTTACGAATGTCTCACGAATTTCTCCTCCTTTTTAATACGTCAATAGAACATTCAAGAGAAAAAGAGTTTTGAATTCTTTCCCAGATATCATTTCCAGCCATGCTGTTTTTATGGGATTTCTTTTGATGAAGATACGCTACAAAGTAGCCGTCATGGTCTATGAAAATAGCAAAACGTCCGTTGCCTTCGCAATCCTGGGCGCAACTCATAGATTATACACTTAATATATTTGAAAGCGCAACTGGTCACACGAATGTGTGGGAGACTACGCGAAGGATCACGGTTCGCGCGCTTTGATGTCTGTTAAAAAACCGACACAGCTTGGGAAACCACGAATGCAGCGAAAACTTTGCATAATCATTTGCGAATGTCGTCCTACACTTGCGGGTTTGCGTATTCGTGCGAATGTGAGTGACCGGTATAACATATATTTGTGGGAAAATGAGACAAACCGCTAAATGTAGTTTTTTATGTTGTACCGAAGTTTTAATTTAACTTTGAATAAATTCTCACCATTTTACTGAGAGATTGTGTATTTTATTTCATTTACTTTCCAAACCCTGTTTAAATTTCAGTTTTCATGAAACAGTAGCCTTTAGCACATAGTATTTATTCAACGGTATAAGCTATTTTCCCTTTGCTAGCTCAATTGATTGATTAAACAAGAAAATAAAAAATGTCTAAAATGTCAAAATATAACCTATATTTAAGAAAGAGAGTTAAACTAAAATAAACTTCAGTAAATTGCCCTAAAAAGTTCTGTACACTAAATCTTCATAGATATAAGATTAATGGGTCAAACATAATAACATAAAATGAGTAAATTAATAAATAAAAACGCCGAGAGACTGAATCCGTGTCTTACAGTAATTTGAATTATGTTTTAATTTTCAAATAATTTCAATAACAAATCATGCTACGCCACTTCCCAACATCAGATAGGTCTTTATTAAAGTTTTGTAATATAAACTTAAACACTACCTACCTACCACAGTCCCTATTCATGTACACATATGCAATAGAAAGATGCTATGGTATTGAGATATCACTGGATAACTAGTTTAAAAAATAATTTAAAACTGCCTATGACATAACTTATTTGTATAGGTGCATTAGCTTCATTGAATTATCCTTTCAATATACTATTTTATTTGTTTTTGTAATGTAATTAAAACTTATTTTTTTTATCATAAAATATGTGTTTTAGGAACAGGAACAGTCTTACAAATGTTTGGATAAAAATGGTTTTGATCACGCAAAATGCGAGGAGTATTTCGAAAATTACAACACCTGCAAAAAGTTTTGGGTAATTTAATTTTATTAATTTACAACTTTTTATTTTAAAATGCAACCTCAACCTCTTAGTATCTCAGTAGTATTCATTATCTCGGACTAACAACATTGTGGTTAATCAATTTACCACAATGAAAGTTATTTAGGACATTATTTAGTAGATACAATAACCTAATGATTCTAATAATAGTCTGACAAACTATTAACATATAACTTATCTATACTAGATTGCAAAAAATTGGACATATTTGAGGTTTGGAAATATAGTCTCATGTTTACCAAAGAAGCCTGCACTAGCAAGTATTTGAATATCTTAGTCTAGTGACCATTTAAAAGTTATTAACAATTTATTTTATAATTACAAATATTTTAACATGTTTTTCTATAATAGATGTTATGTTAATAAAAATTAGTAATAGTAACAAAATTTTAAAACATTTTTTTTATATTTTATTGCATTGATAGGTGGATGAGCTCACAGCCCACCTGGTGTTAAGTGGTTACTGGAGCCCATAGACATCTATAACGTAAATGCGCCACACACCTTGAGATATAGTTCTAAGGTCTCAGTATAGTGTCAACAGTTGCCCCACCCTTCAAACCGAAACGCATTACTGCTTCATGGCAGAAATAGGCAGGGTGGTGGTACCTACCCATGGGTACTCACAAGAGGTCCTACCACCAGTAATTACACAAATTATTATTTTGCGGGGTTCGATTTTTATTACACAATGTTATTTCTCCACCATGGAAGTGAATTGTGAACATTTTTGAAGTATGTGTTTCATTAGAAAAATGAGTACCTGCCTGCAGGATTTAAACACCATTACATCTCTAGAAAATAATAAAACTACTAAAATTTTAATTTGTATTTTAGGGAAAAGTGTACAAAGACAGAAAAGCAAAGGGTATACAACCGTACCTACCAGAGGTTGAAGAGAGGAAAGAAATAAAAGCAGCCTATTTTAAGGCTGTTAAAGGAGAATAATAAAAAATTAAATCTCTCATTGTCTAGGTGATTTTTAAATGTATTTCATTAATCATAGAAATAGTTTGTGTTATTAAAAAATTTAGAACAAAGTTCTATGAAAATATTTTTTCCATAAAAATAAAAAAAATATTTATAATTTTCTGTGGCCTTTATTTAATTATTTTAGCCTATTGCCCAAAAGGTAGGGTATAGCAAAAGCTGGTGTTACAAGCGGGGCTTTTGAACTTGATCGATTAAAAAGGATACCATTAAGTACTAGTGCAGTTCTTTCACAATACGTTCGTTGCGTTCATCCAAAGTGCGTTTCCATAGGTCTTTTCTGCCACGCACCATCTGGCTTTGAAATGAATTTCCCTCCACGGTTTTTCCTGTATTAAAAATAGATAAGAAACAAAAAAAAAAAGAATTTAATCTAAGAGTTAATAAAAATGATAATTATTTATTTAGCAATAAATTATAACCTCAGTATTACAAGTTTTTAATCGGGACTACCAGCTTACCTCAGATAATTCTCTGACCGCGCGCTCTACGCCCTCTATCTCGAAAACAGTTCAAGGTATACCTAATAAAATTTTAAATAGAAAAGTTGTAGAGAATTTAATTCTCTACAGTATTGATAATAAATACAAATAGCGTAAAACCCATAGAAAACGGAGATACAAGGGCGGATCCAGCTTTGGCGCCAGGAGGGGGTCACATAGTCGTGGGCAAGTTAAGAACTTATAATTTAATTTTGATAACAATAGATAATAAATCATGATGTTCTTCAATTAGTCCAAGATAGTTCAAGTCCTGGAACTAGCTCAGGGGGGGCCATGACCCCCATGACACCCCCCCTGGATCCGCCGTTGCGGAGATATTTGCAAAAAATGTAAAAAAATAGCGATTTTTGTCACCTTTACCTTAACCCCTGACTTTAAAACATGCGACCATCCAATTATAAATTATATGTGAATTTTGAGAATAATTTTAGGATGCCAAAACAAAAGTTTTTACGTGGTAATATACAGGGTATGTCGATTTTCCGAGATATTAACCTAATTTGGCCTAAAATGATTGGACTATTCGCAGAACCTACCAACGGATCGGAAACTCGACTTACTGAAAAAATCCGGTGAGGAACTCAGTGGGCTGACTTCCAAGATGAAGGGAAGACGACAGTCTTCTATACTAATATTATAAAGAGGAAAGTTTTGTTTGTTTGTTTGTTTCGAATAGGCTCCGAAACTACTGGTTCGATTTGAAAAATTCTTTTTCCATTAGAAGCCGACATTGTCCCTGATGAACATAGGCTACTTTTTTTTTTTATTATTTTTTTTGTTTCATGTGTGTTTTAATGTTTCCGAAGCGAAGCGAGGGCGGGTCGCTAGTCTTTATACTATAATACTAAGAATTGAAAATTAAATGTCTCAAGATTGTTGGTGACAATCTCGCTGTTATGTACATGGGTTCGCTAAAGACTTAACACTAGTGTTAACTGGTTTAAGTACATTACCTTAAAAGTCTGAAGTCATCGTGGCCTAAAGGATAAGACGTCCGGTGCATTCGTGTTGAGCGATGCACCGGTGTTCGAATCCCAGGCGGGTACCAATTTTTCTAAATGAAATACGTACTCAACAAATGTTCACGATTGACTTCCACGGTGTAGAAATAACATCGTGTAATAAAAATCAAACAAGCAAAATTATAATTTGCGTAAATACTGGTGGTAGGACCTCTTGTGAGTCCACGCGGGTAGGTACCACCACCCTGCCTATTTCTGTCGTGAAGCAGCAATGCGTTTCGGTTTGAAGGGTGGGGCAGCCGTTGTAACTATACTGAGATCTTAGAACTTATATCTCAAGGTGGGTGGCGCATTTACGTTGTAAATGTCTATGGGCTTCAGTAACCACTTAACACCAGGTGGGCTGTGAGCTCGTCCACCTATCAAAGCAATAAAAAATATATATTCGTGTTTGTTTTTTGTGTCACCTTCGGGTTATATTCAGTGTCATCCAACGTAGTTTAAGTCGGCCAATGTGATCATCCTTTGAGAGGTGTGCATTAAAACACAAAAAAAAAACAATATTGTTTTCCACAAACATTTATTTAGTGATTTTCATTACGAATAGGCATCGATTACGTGTAATAGTGTAAAGCTAAAAAGGGATCCCACTAAGAGTTTCGACGGTCTTCTTAAGCTGTGGATCACGAAATGCTACCTGGAAAGCTTAACGCTAATTCTCTTAGTCTGTCATCGAAACAGAAACAATCGATTTCGATATCGATTTTTCATTTTGCCCATACTTATTAATCTGAAAGTATAGTGTGTTACACCAGCCCTAAACACGTTATTACGGATCCTCCCGATCCATTAACGATGCTTTTATGTACCTCAAGCACCGCTCACCGTCCTAGCCGAACCCGTCGCTTGCGACGCAGGGCTCGACAAGTAAATTAACCCATAGACAGAGCCCACTGAGTTTCTCGCCGGATCTTCTCAGTGGGTCGCGTTTCTGATCCGGTGGTAGATTCTGCTAAGCACTGCTCTTGCTCGGGCCAGTGCTAGCAACACCTCCGGTTTGAGCCCCGTGAGCTCACCTACACGCTAGGGTAAAGCTGAAATGCCTCTCAAGGCTATCAGCATAGGTAGGGGAAAAATGGTTACCCCACTGTCGTGTAATTTGGGCGAGGCCATTTTCAGCAGTGAACGACTGTGGGCTGATGATTCTGATGTTATTTTATCCCCTATACGTGTATACTAAGCTAGACCACGCAAAGCCTTCGTAAATCATCGAAACTCATATTACAATAGATCCCTTCATACAAAAGTGGCTAAAAGGCAACCATTGGAAGATTTTGGTTTTACAATTCACTCGTTACAGTAATTTTATAAAATCATTTTTTTTTCTTCTAAACTATGATTCGATCTCGTAATCTTGTTACAAATCACACTGTCGATTACTATCGATAGAAACTCCTCACGAATTAGCGCGTCTATCAAATGTCCAAACTACAACTAATCGAGTTCATTTTATGAAACACATACATTTTGAAAATTATTCATATTATCAGTTTAAAATGCAGTTGAAATTATTTACTTTTTAGAATTATAATGTTAAAAATATAACTTTCTAATATAAGTGTGTAATAAAATATTTATCTATATTGAATATAATAATAAAATTGCAATCTTTAAGTTAAACGACGTTCGTGTGCAATAAATAAGCTCAGTTGAGTAGTTTTAGCTTTTTTTTTAGCGAATCTTGAAATTGCTAAAGCGAATTGCGATAAGTTCTCGAAAGAATTAGAATCAGATAAATTAAAGAAATTTCTACAAAGCGAACTAGTCGGGACTAGCCGCTGAAACTTCACTACCGAAATATTATTAGAACTGAGAATCGCAACAGGCGGCTTTGTCGTTAAAATACATTTTCCAAATAACAGTTCAGTCAATAAAATAATTATTTAGTTTTCGAAGTCTTGATGCGTTTTTGTCCCGGTGTTACCAGTGCAGCAATAAAAAAAAAAACACAATTTGGGCGCCATTGAGAGTGGAACGTTCGCATTTATTTATTATTATTATTATTAAATAATAAAACGAACAAGACTGACTATATATTTTTAAAACCACTGAATTTATCGTCGGTTCTTTTCAGCGGGTCGCGATTCCGATCCGCTGGTAGATTCTGCCAAGCAATGCTCTTGCCAGTGTAAGCAAACTCTTTTAGGTTGAGCTTGTGAGCTCACCTACCAGTCAGAGATTAACTGGAATAGCGGAAAAGGTATAGAAAAAAAAAAACTAAGTACCAAGTGTATTGCTAAATATATAATAATGTCAACTCATGTGTGTAGTTTTTTCTCTTGTTCAAACTACAAGAACAGTGTTTAAATTTTAGATCAATTACTTAAATCGAATTTTAATAATAATCACGTTATTATAAGAAAAAAGAAAAAAGAAAATAACTGGTACTGTCTACAAAACAAATTGGTGGGTTAAAAAAGTATATTAGATATAAGAGTTTTAAATGATTAAATGCTTCATATTAATAAAATAAAAAAAATAAGAATGTTTGTTATTACTTAAGTCTAAGTTGTTCCATTACCGAGGTAATCACACAGTCACAAAATTAACATTACCATGGGATCCGTCGGGGAGATTTACAAAATATTAGACTATAAACAGCTAAAGCAAAAAAATATGTGGTAGAGGTATCGAAATGAGATTTTATACAATGGTACATTATAATAATGAATTATGATTTATAACATATATACATACACACATGAAAACGAAGCTTTTGTGTATGCTTAACTCTTTAAGCTCCCATTTCTCAATTCTACATTAAAAATCAATTAAATAGTACTTGAATCAGTAAAAGGTACATTATAAATAATAGACCGATTCACAATTTAAAATATCTAAATGATAAAAACACAAGGTTTCGAAAATATACATATTAATATGTTTTTCTTAAGTCTATGATTCGTTTTCGTCTCTTCACTACATAGTATAAAACAAAGTCGCTTTCTCTGTCCCTATGTATGCTTAAATCTGTAATACTACGCAACGGATTTTTATGCGGTTTTTTTTAATAGATAACAGTGATTGAAGAGGAAGGTTTATATGTATAATAACATCCATTAAATAGTGGAGAAATCAATAATAAATTACAGTTTCCGAAGTGAAGCGAGGGCGGGTCGCTAGTCTTGTATATAAGTTTAGTTTATGTAATGGTATCTAGCAAACAGTACCTATTAAACTTGAAAAATTATTCTGTTTGAATTATAAGTCTCAGAATATATTAATAAAACACTAGTCCTACCGAAGGAAAACAATACAATATTTTATTTTGTAAATTTGTGAATCGGAAATAATTAGTCATTTTACTTTAAATTACAGAAAAAAAATTCTATTAGACAATGCGAGCTATGCGCCGACAAATAAAAACGTACACGTAATCTGAACACTTGATAATTTTAATGGTGTTAAATTTGCGGTGCAAAAAAAATATTAGTAATTTTTAGTACGGTCTGCACAGTAATGTTGTAGAAGAACGAATCCCAAACGTATTATCTTGGGTAAGGACAGAAGAAAAATATTTTTAATAGATACGGCTGGTTTTAAAACAATAATACACGAGTTGTTTTGAATATACTTAGAATTTGTCGTTCAGTGAACGATTTGAATCACAGGACCCCTAGTTTCTGAAGAAGAAATGAGTATTTGTTGATAAAAATTAAGAAAACTTAAATTTTTAAGTATATTATTAAATATATAGCTCATTTAAAAATAGTGTTATAAATGCAAATAAATTCACCAATACTCAGCAGTACTAAGATAAGATAAGGTACTAGGATTAATTAATACATTAATCAAATATGTAATATATTATTTTTAGGTTTTGTTGATGTTCAATTTTGGATAAATCCTATTTGGGTGATCTGTGTATCAGTAGTACGTGTAACGTCTTTACATTAAAAACATAACATTTATAGTATGATAATGTACTTTTAAGGAAAACTATACTTTATTCTTGAGCTTATAAGTAACATTTTTAATATATATTTTTTGTATAACAACATTTTTTTTAAGGTTTGATTTATCTAACACCCTGTATTTACGTACACATAGTGTGTGATGTTTTTATACAACAACAAAAAATGTAATTAAATAATTCAATGAGAAATTTGAAGGGTGAAGACGGGGTTTTATAATTGGGTACACTATCATCATGTTTGATTTGTTACATTTTACATTACAAACGTTAATATTCTGAACAGTTTTCTTTACATTGTTGCCGTGTGCAATGGGTAATGTAAAAGGTAACAATCGGTAATGTTACGTTGTCTAGCACGCATTGTCGTCTAAGAGTCAATCAGCACGCTGCTTTATGTGGAAACAGCTGACCCGGAAATGGTCGCACATCTGGCGTACCTGTTGAGTTACACAATCAGAATTCAGTCTCTCTATTATCCGTCTGCCGATTCTGACAAGTTCTCTCAGATTCTCACGAGTATCGCTTGTAGTGTAGTCATTAACTTCAAACTAAAGCTCTCTTCATTTTATTGGGACTTTGGCAAGCGTTTTTTTTTTTTTTGGTATTCTTAGTCGAAGGCAACTGATTTACAAATTTCCACTTTTCAATTATAAATAAACAATACCACTGGTGCTTAGGACCATTAACTTGTGCAGTTTCAAGATGAAGCTTTTATAGCATGTGTATATTTTGTTTATTACTACTATACGACAAACTTGATGGCGATCGATGGATTCCGAATTGGAGCTAAATAAGTGACGATTTCAAAGCGCCTATGAAAGCTCACTTAAATGAGCTTCTTCATTTTGTGACATTGCTTAGCGCCGGTCCCTATCCTACTTCTACCCTTCTCCCAGTCACGTGGGGTCGGCGCAACATGTTTTCTCCTTCCATACTCATCTATCATATACCATTTCTTCCCTCACTCCCCTCTTACACATATCGTCTTTCACGCAATCCATTCATTTTACTTAGGTCTACCTCTTCCTCTAAAGCCTTCCACATTCATAGTTAGGACTCTCTTAATAACCTCATTAAGTGATAAGACTGCTAATTGTACTTTTTTTGTATTTATTGTTTCGCATTATTTTTTTGGTGTACAATAAAAGAATACTCCCTATTCCTCTCTCTCCCGAAAGAGAAGTCTCATTGTCATTTCGTCAATGTCCCAATTTCCGGTAGCTAATCTCCATCCAATTATATAATAAATAAAAAATCATTTGTTATACTTACAACGCAGGTTCCGTAGTGAATGTGAGCGAATAGAGTGAGCATAGTGAAGCCATAGAACGCTGTCGGCTCGTACTCTGGCAGTGTCAATGACACCGTAGCACTGACCAGCAGGGGCCACGTCAGCCAGTTGATAGCTTCGCACCGTTGATTGCTCATTTGACTGACGATTAGACGGCACTGGAGATTAAATCGAGGCAATTAGAAATGGGGTGCAAGATACAGTAGCTGTGAACTGATAATTTCGTTAGTCAGAGACATCTCTCGGCCAACAGCGGCACTAACAGTAGCGAAATCGTCACTCTAACAACGCCATCTAGCGGGACGCACACTGAAATCGCGTTGAACATTCTAGAACTTTCCATTGCGTTCTGAAACAGGGATACTTTAAGAGAAATCTTTTTGTACGGAAACTAGCGACATCTTGTAGCGGATACCCCTAAACTTATATGTTGTTAAAGTTAAGGCATTTAATTATTGTACAACTAAACACAGAAAATAGAAAAATTAATAAATCATACAAGTCTTTATTTGTTATAAACAAATTGATTACATTTTATCAATTTGTGGTTTCTGGAAATTAACATATTCTTTCATTAAAAATAAAATATAGGAGAGGTAATACGTTACTACCATCTACACGAGCAATGAGAAATTAATCGAAGCGAAGCCAACTAGTGGCCGACGCCCGTAAACATTTTTGTTGAGTGCTCGAGTTGCTTATCTATAACTAATTTATGTGTATTATCACTATCTATGTTCTGGAATAGCACCGCAGTCGAGCCGGATGATTCAATAGAGACGCGTATTCCATAGCAAAGACGAGGTTTCAAGCGGTAAAGAATGCATAACGTACAATTGAGAGCTCTATATACATTACGATTAGGTTGAATTTTAGTTACAAACTCACCGCTACGTTACTGAACAGAGTTCCGATCAACAGGAAGAGCATCCTCAGGTCGTAGTCCGGCAGCCGCGCGCTGCAGTGCACCCACACGGAGGAGATGACGAACACGGATGTGAAGGACCAGAGCGGCCTTAGAGCTTCAGAGAGGGAACGCATCTTACCCGTTCGTTCTTTGTAAGACCTAGGAGGAAGGTTTTTTTACTGGTGGTAGGAATACTCGTGAGACCGCACGGGTGGGTACCACCACCACGCCTATTTCTGCCGTGAAGCAGTAATGCGTTTCGCTTTGAAGGGTGGGGCAGCCGCTGTAACTATACTTGAGACCTTAGAACTTATATCTTAAGGTGGGTGGCGCATTTACGTCGTAGATGTCTATGGGCTCCAGTAACCACTTAAGACCAGGTGGGCTGTGAGCTCGTCCACCTATCTAAGCAATAAAAAAAAAACAAAAGGAAAAGGGAACGTCAGAGGTGCTGTATGTCAAAGGTGTTCCGGCAAAGAGCTGGTGCTCAGACATCCTAGCACTTCCATGTATTATACGTCTAGGGTTCATCATATCACGAAAACGTTAACTGTTACTTGTTGCTATTTTAAATTCAGTGTGTGTGCAGACGATGTTGCTTCGAAAACCTATTGGTTTATTCAATGGTGATATTTACAAATTCCTACCGGGCACAGTCAGAGAAGTTAATCAAAATTCCCACCTCGGGCATCTCTGCAATGCTGTGCCAAAAAGGCCATTCATAGTAGTTACAGACAAACAGCCGGATGTGTCCACAGTCTGCAAGTCAAAGGATAAATTGGAACCGGTAGACCTCACACCCTGAATGCCACCTCCAACTTGAGACATGAGGTTGACTGCTATCTATAGTAACGACTATCCTACACTTAACATTAAACGTGTTATAGCTTCAAGACAAACAATCAACAACAACCTTAAAAAATATGTAGAAAACTTGGTGACTGCCGTTAATTCAAACCGTAAATACATCGAAGGTCCCACTAAAAGAGGCATGGTCACTTATTCCCTAGACATTTAGCGACGATAAGACGATACTCCTCAATTATAGCAAAAGCTTCAGACCGGACTTTATATGGGCATCGATCGAACCTTTATCTACTGTATTGTGTAATAGGGAACGTATAACTCACTTATTAATATTGTACAGCGCCACTGGCAGGTTGGTGACGACTCCCGTTCCGTATATCGCCAGTTCGAATCCGTGCGCCAGCGTCATACTGCCGTAGATGTATTTCTTGTAGAACAAGGTACCGTTAACACCGGTCCATATGAAGCATAGGGTTGAAGCCTGGAAAACGTAATAACGTGCCGTGTTTTTACCGTCCATAGTACTTAAATATTAGCGCAAATTGTTCAATTCACAATTGACTTGAAAGACAGAAAAATAGTAACGGTAAATTTTGCAACATGCTACGAGACAATGTGTGGTATTTTCAATACACAAAAGACTTAATTTTCAATTGGGTGTTAAATGAATTCATATATTGATAGAACCATCAGTAGGCTAATGGTTAAGACAGCAACTATATTAAGTGTTCAAGAACATCTTGTTCGAAGAAGAAGAATTGTTGTCATCAGAAGAAGATTTTGTAGTAAACGCGTAACTTAACTCACCCACATACTAAAATCATAGCCCCAAGGCAGGAACAGAACCCCTGTATTATATTTCTCCCAGTGACTCAAATAAAAATTCAATAAGAGATTCCACATCACGTAATAAATCCTGAAAATAATAACAAATAGCTCACTGATAGTCGGGTAATTTCAACTAATTTCAGCTGTGCAGAAGAATGTCTGTTAATTTGACAACATGTAGCCAAAAATCTAACAGATCTAAAGATTTTACATGCTACAAATCGTCAGCAAACTGTAAAAGTATAAACATAATTCTGCTAACACTTGTTTGCATGTATATTTATGAATACTAGAGGTCCCGCAGTAGTCGAAATTCGACTATAATTAATTGGAATTGTACGTTTGTACACAATTATGATTGTATTTTATACTTCTATCTCTTAGGTTTATGGCGTTTCCTTTTAGATTTCGCCAATGTCAAGTGTATTTAATACTCTGCTTTCTATAGCGGGCTTCGTGAACGAGCAAGGTCACAGATATTCACTAAGAATTAAGTGAGTAGCTAAGAATGTTTGATGACAGGATCTCTGTTGATTTACCTAAAACAAATAAGACGCACACAATATATATACAGGGGTTAGNACTTGCGCTACTGTATTTTTCTTTGGTGGTAAAGAGGAATGATCAGAATTTGGAGGCGTTTGTCTTTTTCTAGAAGGATGGATTACCTCCGTGTCCATTGGGATTGATGAGTTAGTTGGGTCAAGGATATAACCTCCCCCGGGATCGGGGGGGTCAACGCCGTTCATAATTACACTATTTACACTAAACTACTATATTAAAATACTTACAAATAAGACAACACACTTATATAAACACACAAAACTAATAATTAGCTAATCAACAGGTAATAGAACCCAATAAAGCACCCGAAAATTATTAAACAACCAAAACACTTGCTTCAAACACTCAACCACGAGTCTTATACTTCTCTAATCACAAATTTCGCATTTGACAACAGACGTCAAGAACAAAAGTTTGACAATAAATAGTAGGTATGCGTGTGTGTGTGCGTCAAATACATGATATGTAGTGTGTGTAATGTTTTCTTTATTAATTTAATGTATCTTTTATGCATTATTTAAAAAATATATTAGCATAGTGCACTTCTTCTCTATATTATCTATAAGTGTGGAAAATTTCATACTCCTGCGTCCGTGCAAATTTCGTAAAAAGGGATACAAAGTTTTTGCTTCACGTATTAATATATAGATCTTACCTAATAGGCGGAATAGAGTAATCCGATCGACCAAATATAGAATATAGACAGGCCGGTATGAAGAATACCGTGTATGAATCGAGACCGTGGTCAAATAGTTCCCCAAGCGGTCCCGATGTCTGGGTGCGTCTAGCTTGCTTCCCATCAATACCGTCTGTAATAAATTTGGAATCTTTCTTCACTATGTTACACAATATTTAAGTTAATAAATCTAAATAGATTACATCTTTAGCAATAATTCGGTAGCTGGTAGCTAGTTTTACTGGTGGTAGGACCTCTTGAGTCCGCGTGGGTAGGTACCACCACCCTGCCTATTTCTGCCGTGAAGCAGTAATGCGTTTCGGTTGGAAGGGTGGGGTAGCCGTTGTAACTATACTGAGACCTTAGAACTTATATCTCAAGGGGGGTGGCGCATTTACGTTGTAGATGTTTATGGGCTCCAGTAATCACTTAACACTAGGTGGGCTGTGAGCTCGTCCACCCGTCTTAAGCAATAAGAAAAAAGCTGGACTGTGCTCCATGCACTATTTAAATCAATGATAGATGGTATGTGGATATTATCAGGGGGGCCACAGGAATCTGCCCAAAAACAGATTTAAAAGAAATATGTTATTCAACGTGTTAGATTATGTTTGATAGTGTAAAAATAAAACATTGTGATAAGAAATTATTATCTCAACACCTACTGCACCACAAATGTAGGAGTGTTTAAAAGAATTATTACTACAATTTTTTTATTAAATTACTGATAGATTTTGCAGCGCAATAAATATGACTTTTATATTTCAAAACAGGCAGTGGAATTCGAATTCTAAAATGTATGTGGTATACAAAATATATTTTTTTCCTTATTTAAAAGCATATTTATAGGCGCATAAAAATCATCGTGATTTTACTATCGAATGTAGTTTGACCACTAAGAAAAATTGCCAAAAAACTCAGTACTTGTTCCATGTCAAATATAATATTTTACAAATCAAAACAGCAAATTTACAAAATTTTATTAAATCATTATATATAGCAAGGTGAGTTAAACTAGAACAATCTGGTGGTAGATTCTAGGAAGCACTAGTCTTCTCTCAGGTTGAGCCCCGTGAATTCACCTGCAAGTCATAACATAGCTGGAATAGCCCCTTAAGCTATCAGCAAATATGGGTAAGAAAAAAAAATCTATCACTTATCGCTAGATATGTCATACCATCTGCTGCTCTACCACAATAAAAAATTGTTTCAGACTACATAGTGTTATTAAATATATTAAAAATAATATCTTACCTAGGGTATAAGCAAGAAATAGAAATACGGCAATTATGAACCACAGTGATTTCGGTATGACTTCCTCATAGCCATTTGTAGTTGCATCAATCAATGTTGCATTGTTAGCTGAGAAGCTGGCAGCATAGTAATCATAATCATAGTATGACAGCATCAGGAAATTGAGCACAACCAACATGAATCCGGCAAACGTTAGTACATTGGGTGCAATCCATTTTGGCACAAGCTGTGTACAGACAGTAATATTCTATTAAACTATTTATTACATTACTTTATTAGACATTTAAATGTACCCCTAAATGCTATAAAAACAGATATTACTTAGATAGATAATAGATATTAATATTCAGTGTACATGAACAAATAGTTTTATATAAAAGTACCCTAAAATTTTATTTGAGAAATACTCTATTTGCCCATTAAAGTCCCATCAGAATTGGTTTAGCTATTTCAGATTTCCCAATAAAGTTTCTGATTAAATCAAGTAGACTTAATCATGTGAGATTCAAAAGAAATTTACTTTGACTTCACAGAGAGACAATTATTGACTATTCATGTTGAATGAGATGTCCCCTCCATCTCCTTTTTACCATCATCCCTCCTGGCACCAGAGCAAAGTTCATCCATACTATCTGGAACTACTGTATTGACTGAGAGTATTTTCACTGTTTCAGTGTTTTTTGATTGCTATCACATGTCTTTCTTCAAAGAGATTTGCAGAGAGTACTCAGGAAGATAACTTAGCCGTACCCTTGGCATTGCTTACTTCTATGAGCAACTATAATTATTTACCATCAGGTGGGCCTTATGTTCATCTGCCTACAAAAGGCAATAAAAAAAGACAGTTACATTTAAATGTTTATCAAGTCTCATATAACAAATCCATGTGCACTTATCGATTGCCAGCAATATAATTTAACTAATATCTAATTACAGCAATCATTGTTTATTCACATATATTTACAATACTAAAGAGTAGCAAAACCATATTATAGTATTTATATTGTTACTGGTATTTATTATATGGAAAGTTATCAGGAAATTATTTAAGGTGTAATAAGTATTTTGTTATTATTTATTTCTCTTCAAATTGTAAATAAAAACTATCACTACATTTTCTTTACTCTACATTTATTCGTCAACTTCACAAAATGTCAGACTCTGTACTATTTGCTACTTCTAAAATCATACTGAGCTATGTTATTATTTAGAAAGATACTTACTTCCACAACTTTGTTCCAAAATGGGTGCATGACATAAACACTGAGAGGGCTCGTGTCGATCGCCATGTACTAAAACAATAATTGTAATGTTATAATTATTATACACAGAAAAAATACATCGATACCTTTTATCCACATCTTTTTTCTACTTCCTACAAAAAATTTCATATGTTGCAGTCATTTATTAAATGATAGCTTTGACAGCAATAGAAACAACAAAACTACTAGCTGCTTTAGCCACTTTACAAAAAAAAAGGTGTCTGAACAACTTGGTTCATGTGAAAAAAGTGAAACTTCTTTTGCGGTATGTAGTATTGTGGTTTTCTTCATTTTTCATCCTTAAATCAAATTTATCTTGTAATCATATTTTCTTGGAATGCTGTATATAAGAGAAACAACCTAGCTCTCTTTGTCCTTTCCTTCTCTCCACAGTCAAGTGGTTCGCGAGATGCTCTGTCTATTTTCTCATTCTCACTCTTTTTAAATTGTAACTTTTACTCTCAAACTTTCAACATGCCTAAAGAAGTTTCACTCCGAAAATTTGCACATCAATTTAAGAATGATTGTTAAGGATTACACAAATACAAAATCATTTATATCAACTTGGATGTTGAGTAAATTACTTATTAAAACTTTGGCGTCCAGCAACACCACAGTGGTGTCATGTACAAAATTGCATCCATTGGCTGGCAAACCGAAGTAGTGTTGTGAGCATATCTTCAAAATTTCATCAATGTTGGGGAGCAGGATTGAAAACTTGTGAGAGCTAATAATGAGATTAGCAAAACTAAACAATTTATAATTTCCCAATTTTCTCAAAAAACCGGCCGGCGACAAGCCAAGTAATCTGAATTATCAGTGCGGACTCCAAGGGAATAACGATTATAATGACAGGTTCCAAAAAGATTACACTAATGTAAAATTTCGATTTTCTTAACATTATTGTTTCATGTAAGAGCAACAAAGAGAAATTAGTTTTAACAGTTAATTTAAAGGCTCTAATAAAGAATAAAAAAAAATATTAAAAAAAGTCGTCGTATTATGGTCACTGAAAAACTTTGTTACATTTTTGTAGAAATTTAAAAAACTCCTAACTACATGTAACAAACCAGTTTTATAGTTAAAAAGTATCAATAGATGTAACTTGATTAGTGTCACATGTAAGCGATTTATATTTTAATTGATTTCTACTGCCTAAATCATACAATTTAAGTTAAATCTGTAAAACAGATACAAAGCTAATTATTAAAAAGCGTTTTAGTTCTAAAAACAACATACAGCATTGATCCTATGAGTTTTTTACTAACTTTACCTTGTAATTGTCGAAGCCCTCCAAGTGTTCGCGTGATAAATATTTGTAATTGAACATTTTCGATGTTTTTTATCGTTATTTTATAACGAAATATATGTTAAGACTAGTTAAGTACACTTAGACTATCTAAAACACATTACGAGTTGCAATAAAAATACATTTTATTGAAAGATAAATCATTTTGAAAATTTATGTACCGGTAAAATGGGGCGATTAGGGATTGAGAGGCGAATCGGGAAAAAACCGGGAAAATCTTTCGACGCTCAATATAAGTTTTATATTCGTTGCAAAATCTTCCATTTTTTGTAGTTTAATAGTAGAATGTTGAAAGTTCACAAAACAACTCTGAATATGCATGATAATAGCTGCTAACTTATAAAAAATTGCGTTTCAAATTAACTTCCTGTGGTGGTAATTATTTTAGTGCTAGAAACTTTGCTCTCTTTTATTTATTTGATAATAATAGAAGACGACTATGATTTATAAACGTTATTTAGTGTTTGAACCAGCATATATATTAAAGGTAAGTCTCAGTTGTTATTGGTTTTAATGTATTTGATTAAATAAAAATACATGTAAAAATCTGTTGNCAGTTGTTATTGGTTTTAATGTATTTGATTAAATAAAAATACATGTAAAAATCTGTTGTTTTTGGGGATATTGGGGACGTCTTAGGTATAAATAACAACGAAAAAGGGGTCAATTGGGATGAGAATACGTGAAATGGAAACGACCTAAGTATAAATAGGTACAGGTTTGTAGGGTTGTCTATGTAGTTATAACAATATTTTTAAAATTTGTTGGTAAAAATCTGGTTTATTCGAAGTGAAATTGGGAATAAGTCTTTAGTTGAAATTATCTATTTCAACTTCGCTTCGAATAAATCAGATTCGAAGAAACCAGATTTCGCAATAGATAAGCAATTTAATATAAGTAAGTCGATTTTGCAGAGACATGTAACAAGATCAATGAAATCTCAAGGTGGACAAAAATGTCTAAGTAATACATAATAAAATATTTAATATTTGTTCAGAGTGGGGGTATTCTTCTGATTAATCCATGGAATAACTGACACACCTAATCTCTTAACCCAGATAGAAATATCAGCACTGTCGATTGCACCTATAATTGAGGTGATGTCTGCCATGTACTTTTGTCAGTTTTTAAATTTTTTTTATTGATGATCACTTTGTTGGTGCAACTAAATAAATAAATAAATTAAAACTATATATAAAAATAAAAGTAGTGCCAACCCTAGCAAATTTCTCATTTCGTCCCAATTAACCGCAATTTTCGGGTAAATAGGGATTACACCTATTTTTGCATTTTTTGCTTAAACTGGAATGCTAGTTGCATAATTTTAAATTNGGGATTACACCTATTTTTGCATTTTTTGCTTAAACTGGAATGCTAGTTGCATAATTTTAAATTAGACAACAAAGATGCCCCCAAGACTCAATCATTTTGATCCTGATATAGCATTATATACATCAACAACTACCTTAAAATTGCTCATAAAGTTGGAATTTGTCCCTAATCGCCCCATTTTACGGTAAATGTTTCTTTCCGAAAAACTTTGACAGTTCTGACTTTTTTAACTTGATTTCGAACGGGCAAAAGGAATATAAACATACAATAAACATTTTATTATGAAAGCCTGATGCTAGGTTTATCAGTTTTATCACGCAAAAAGTGCATAGATAATACCACAGAACACTATTACTTCTAGCGAAGGATAATACACATACATTATAATTATAGTTAAGAAACACAGACACACAACAACAAAAATTACGAGCGTCGGCCACTAGATAGCTTCGCTTCGATTAGTTTCTCATTGCTCCTGTAGAAGATAGTAACAAATCACGTCATTTCGTATCCTCCCGATCCACTAACGGTGCTTTTAGGTACCTCAAGCACCGGTAATCGTTCTCATCGAACCCGTCACTCGCGACGAAGGGCTCGGCGAGTAAATTAACCCACAGACACAGCCTACTGAGTTTCCCGCCGGATCTTCTTGGTGGGTCCCGTTTCCGATTCGGTGGTAGATTCTGCGAAGAACAGCTCTTGATAGGGTTCGTGTTAGCAACAACGTCAGGTTTGGGCCCCGTGAGCTCACCTACTCGCCCGGTTACGCTGACATAGTCTCTCAAGGCTCTAAGCTTAGGTCTCTACCTCCACTTCTAGTTTTTCTATAACAATTCATAATATTTAATTTTATGAATTCAATGTATTACCATGTGCCACAAATGTATTACCATGTGCACACGGTCATAACTAGTCAGGTCATAAGTATTGTCACACAGTAAAAACTTTTCTTTTAGAATGCTGGCCACAAAAAAGTTTATTGAATTCGAATTTCGAATTGTTCATGAAAATAAAAATGTATACTTTTAGAATTTTTACTCATTTTTAAATATGGAGTGGACGCTTAAAGAAGACCGTGTTGCAGTTATTGCGTTGCATCGTTGCGGTTACGCGCCAATTCAAATTTTTAACATACTGAAAAATTTGAATATAACCAAAAGATTCGTTTATCGTACCATCAAACGATACAATGAAGACTCTAGTGTAGATGACAGGTCAAGAAGTGGTCGCCCTCGGTCTGTTAGGACTCCAGCAGTGATAAAAGCTGTGAAGGCGCGAATTCAAAGAAATCCCAAACGTAAGCAGAAACTGTTGGCCCTTCAGATGGGGTTAAGCAGAACCACGGTGAAAAGGGTGTTAAATGAAGACTTAGGGCTTCGGGCATATCGAAGAAAAACAGGACATCGTTTGAATGCTCGTCTAATGGACCTGAGACTGAAGAGATGCCGCGCTTTGTTGAAGCGGTACGCGGGAAAAAAATATCGGGAAATTCTTTTTTCGGATGAAAAAATTTTTACCGTAGAAGAGAGCTACAACAAACAAAATGATAAGGTGTACGCACACAGTAGTGAAGAAGCGAGCAACCGTATTCCGCGTGTCCAACGAGGTCATTTTCCATCCTCGCTCATGGTATGGTTGGGAGTTTCTTATTGGGGCTTAACAGAGGTACATTTTTGTGAGAAAGGTGTAAAAACGAATGCAGTTGTGTATCAAAATACAGTCCTGACGAACCTTGTGGAACCTGTTTCTCATACCATGTTCAATAACAGGCACTGGGTATTCCAACAAGATTCGGCGCCAGCTCATAGAGCGAAGAGCACACAAGACTGGCTGGCGGCGCGTGAAATCGACTTCATCCGGCACGAAGACTGGCCCTCCTCCAGTCCAGATTTGAATCCGTTAGATTACAAGATATGGCAACACTTGGAGGAAAAGGCGTGCTCAAAGCCTCATCCCAATTTGGAGTCACTCAAGACATCCTTGATTAAGGCAGCCGCCGATATTGACATGGACCTCGTTCGTGCTGCGATAGACGACTGGCCGCGCAGATTGAAGGCCTGTATTCAAAATCACGGAGGTCGTTTTGAATAAACTTTAGTGTCATAAGAATCTATGTTTTGTTAAGTTCATTTTGGTATATGAATGGTTACATAATGAATAAACTTGTTTCAATTATTTTACATTAAACATGTGACAGAATTTATGACCTAACTAGGTATATGACCATGTGCCACGACAGTATTTAGGGCGTTGATAATCTTCATATTTATTAGCAGTCGATGCACATTCCCTGGGTGACTTAATTTAAAATTTATAATACGTATCACATTTGGCTTTATTTTGTTTACCAAGTTTGTCCGTGAGGGGAACGGGGGAGCCATTACCTGTTCCGCATGCAATTTCGAATTTTAAAACTTAAAAAATATCGCACGTATCGCAAATATCTACACACAAACCCAATCCCAAAACAATGGCGCGAATAAACTAAACGAAAACATTTATTGAGCAAAAATAAATTATATCGCAATTATGTGATGGCAGTAACATCCTATTTCGTTATATTAATCTACCATTCGTGGTCACTATACAATTCAATTAAAAATTCTTCATCGTTTTTTACTGGTCGAAGGCCCTCTTGTGGGTCCGCACGGGTAGATACCACCACCCCGCCTATTTCTGCCGTGAAGCAGTAATGCGTTACGGCTTGAAGAGTGGGGCAGCCGTTATAAATATACTGAGACCTTAGAACTTATATCTCAAGAGTGGCGCATTTACGTTGTAGAAGTCTATGGGCTCCAGTAAGCACTTAGCACAAGGTGGGCTGTGAGCTCGTCTACCCATCTAAGCAATAAATAAATATGTTAATATCTCGCATATGACGACATATACATAGTGATGTCTATGTCTTAGTTCATTCACCCATACACAGGAAAAAAGCGCAATCTGGAAAAGATAATTTAAATGCAACTTAGTATTTAGCAACTTAGCATAATATATACATACTAATTGCTGATATTAGACACATAAAGACGGATATTCACGAATAGTTTTAAAGTCTTATCTATCTTTGCAACAAGTTTCAAAGAATAAAATTTCTTTAAATAGCATTCAAGTTTAGATGTCAAAAGAACTCAAGAAAATGGTGAGTAATATGAGTAAAAAAATGATTTTTGCAAAAACTAATGAGATTTTTTACAAATTTTCAAGCGAACTTAAAGCATACCTAGTTCCTGTATTTTTTTATTTTAAATTACGTCATCAACAAAAGAACGACCGATGAAAACCGCTATCGAATTTGATAAGATATACCGCAGTCGGCAGAGTTTCGATAAAGGACCAATAGTTAGTTCAATTTCATTACACGTATAAAACAGTCTCATTGAATTTTAAATGAAAAATATAGTTACATTAAATCGAAAAAGTCCACGAAATGGACAGTGACGAAAATCAATTACAAACGAATTCAAAAACAAAGAACAAGCGTAAGAAATATTTGAAACGCAGCAAAGAGGTTGAATATGACTTGAAAGATGCTGTAGAAGCATTCGATGAAGCGTTGGAATTGACTGAAAACGAACAAGACAATGTAACATCCGATGAAGCTGTTGAAAGCGTGTTTGTCGACGCTATCATGAAAACACCACCAAAATTGCTTCACCCACAAAAAGTTATCTATCCAGAACCTGTCGAAATACCACCTGTAGAGACAAAAAACATCGAAGAGAAAAGGGTATCAGATTCAAAAATCACAGATCAAGTCGAGGAGATAGAAAGTGAAAGTAAATTTTACAATAATAGAGCGTTAACGAAATACGCTACGAC